TGGTAGAAGGTATGCCTTGGCATGGATTGGTCCAAAAACTAAAGAGAGAGTATGGTTACACAGCTGATTATAAAAACGCAATAATTCTACCTTTAGAAATTGTTTCTATTAAAGTAATACCTTATTATTTGTTTGAAGCGTATGATCAAAATAATGACGCAGCATATTATTGACGTTAAATAACTTTCATACCAACAATAACAATATTGCGACTAATCTGGCCTATAAATATCGCAATATTTTTATGCGAATTGAAACTTAAATGATGAATAATTTTTGTTTACATAGAAAATTCAGTGGGATGTATTTTGTCTCTTTCTGCTCATAGATAAAATCAGTTGCATTGTACAGGTATTTATTATATTTGAAACTAAACACAATATCAAGCCTTCCACGTATTAAACATACAAATGGGCAACCAACCAGGTTATTTTTATTATGGAAATCCTTGTGCTTCCTATGGATGTTACTCTTTTTATCCAATTTCTGGTTATTCTTTTTTTCCAATATCTGGTTATCCTCTTCTTCCAATTTCTGGTTTTCCGGCTGCTTCAATATATCGTGTTCCTCGTTATCCAATTTATGATTATCCTGGTTATCTACCAACCTATTATGATGATCGAGGTTACTATGGTAGACACCGTCGTAGGTATGGCACAACAACATTTTATTGATTATCATGGCGATTCATTCAAATGCTAAAACTATCGAACTATATATTTGAAAATTTTATTCTATATTTATCAATTGTAGCTTACCTGCATCAAAAAAGCATCATATTATTTTCTTATTCTTTCTTAAATAAAACTTATTAATATTAATTTCTGTTGTACATAAATAATCAAAGGTGTCCCAAAGTTATCAGAATCGGGCGGGGGGGGGGGGGGGGGGGCAATGGTTCAGGAAGTAGGTTGGGAGGTTTTTGCTAAAATGAATCTGATTCAGGAGGGATCCGATGATTTGTTGAGAATTGTTGAACAAGAAAACGAATATTGTGCTGGAAATTCGCTAGGAGAAATCGGCAATTTCTCAAGATTGAAAAGTGATCTTTCTGTTGAAGAAACTCCCATTAGGCATGTAAGCTTGGAAATCCAAGGCGACGAAAACTTTCGGCAGTTTCTGACTTATCGAATTTGAATTTTTCGTACAGTTCTCCTCGATTTGTAACAAAGATGCATGACTTAAGCAGAAAAGAATCTCTAGAAACGTGTTTAAACGTTCTTATGAGAATTGACGTTTGAGCATTTTTTAAGTTCACTTAGTCAATACTTAACCAGCTATTTTCATCATAAAAGATCCGTGAAGATGTCTAGAAAAGTGACTTTTGAATCGGAAAAATATTTGAGCATTTTCAAGGTTCAAAAGTTATCTTTTTAAACGTCTTGAAGTACCATTAATGATGAAAGTAACTTGTTTTAGTTTTGTTTGAATAGACGCGAAAAATCTTAAATGGAAAACTCGATTAGATCATTTAAACACGTTATCCCTAATTCTTGTCTGCTTGGTTGTATATGCTTGTATACAAGTGAATGTGTCAAGTGATAGATCTGTTTATCTGCATATCACTTATTGATATTATATCCATAACTCAGACGTTTTTTTTTAAAAATCATGGAAAAAACTAATCAGAAAAGATGTAGAAATAGAGAAAAAAATAATAAGGTATAAAACACACCACGAAAAATCTGGTCATGTCAGGATGTTAATTGCCATTCTTTAATATGAACAACAAACGTGTACAGAAAGTAGATGTGAAAGAGATGAAAAATATGTAGCGCATAGAGTAGTGAATGTTTTAGGATGTGTAACAAGTAATTGTTTTCATGTCACATTTTTCTGAAATGTGTTTGAAGGGCTATTGGGGACTGCGATTGGCATCCGAAAATGATCGAGATATTTTTTTGCTTTTTCACTTATTTTTTCAGTTTTTTGCTGTCTGTTTGGGTATACTTGAAGTCATCAGAAATGTAGAATACAAGATTAAATCATACATACTTAAACATTTCTTGAAGACCTGTTTTCTAAGTTTGCTTCACTATGAAAATGCTATTATTTGCCATTGAAAGCTGTGAAAAAATTTACGTGTGTACGATATTGTCGATACGGTACAGAAATCTTTCAATCTAATTGATACACAGCCAATATTTGAGCATAGTCGAGCCTCATGGATCTACTACTTATGATGTTATGCTAGCCAATATGTAAGTTAATGTATATACAGAATGTGCATGACTAGGAAGAGAATCAACTGATTCGTTTATTGTACTAAATTATATACTTTTAACAATAAAAAATGTCAAGTTTAAAAAACATTATCTGTTGTTGGTGTTGGCAAATATATAGTTTGATGAAAAATTTGCATTTTTGTATTGTTACACATGATATGTTTCTCTATAACACCATAAGAGAAGTCGAATATGATCTTTGTTCATCTGAATAGACGAATTCATGACTGTAGTAAATTCGATGTCATCTCTTTACATCTAACCATATTTGACATCGTTTTTCGGGATTCATTGGAGATCCTTTTGGACATTTGAATGCTTTCGAGAATTCTGGCATATTCGATAAAGAACCAATAACACGATATTTTGGATGAGCATGTGTATCGGTAACTAAAGCTGCTTCGGCCATTTCAGGTGTTGTTTTTGCACACCATGTTTGTGCAAAACCAATAAAAAATAATTGTTCATCAGTTAAATTAAGACCAGGTAAAAGTTGCTGTTGATGATGTTTTAAATATGCAATTGATAGTAAATGATGACGTTTTAAGTAGCGTTTATAAGCTGCATATGCAATTCGTAAACCACCATTATCAGCAATCTGAAAACAAACATATTCATATTTAAGAAAAACTTTATTTGATTACTAACATTTTCATCGAGTGTTAATAATCCATTGATATGTTTATTACCAACACGATATTGAGTATATTGATCAATAAAACATTGAGCACGTTCATCAAAATTTTGAGCTGATCCTTTTTGCCACCAATTGTTTAGATTTCCGTAACCATCAAAATACCGACCACTAGCCATAAAAAGAATTCATTGAATAATATATTTTTAACTTATAGAAGTTCGACAAAACAACAACACCTCCAAACTATCTTCGAACCTCTCTAGGGTATAAATAGAAAACCTAAGTATTCTTTGTAAATTTCTAGACAAGCATCAGCTGTTCAGATAAATTTGACTCAAAAGATCTATTAAAATTGATCTTAATGCAGATAACGAGTTCAGCAATGTATTTCAATGACAAAAAAAAATAGCAAGTACGCATATTTGAAATGAAATATTGTTCACAGATTAAAAAACCTTCCATGTGATGAAAACCGAGCAAAAACCGGCGATTAACCGCGGTTTACCGCTAAAACTGATCCGGTTTTTGTGACATGGGCTATGAGAATTGATTAAAAGTATATCTTATCAGTCTTGATGATTATAGAAAAAGAATGACAAAAGAAGTGGACTTGCCTCGCATCAAATGCATGAATAAGTTCATCTGAAATAATAAACACAATTGAAAATATATTTAAATATAAAATTTACTTACGACCAATGATCGATGCAATTGATCCAAAATTAAGTGAAATAGGAATATTAGCATCGAAAAATCTAAATAACAAAAATTCAAACACAAAAGAAATAAATATTCAATAAGATCCTATACGGTGTTTGTAAAATGCCAGCTGGAAATACAATCATATTTTTCCATGGTGCATAATATGCATTGACATCAATAGGTGTCATTGTCCATTCTTCAATATCGGGTCGTTGACCCTTCATTAATTATATATATTTGATGAGTAATCTTTCAATAGTAGAAATTACTTACAAGTTTTTTGAAATTTTGGTTTTTTTGAAATTTTCGTACTAACATTACATTAATAATAGGATTATTAGTCGATGATAGATTTAAATCTTGATAATATCGATCAATATTTCTTTCATCTTCAAACCATTTAGGATATCCAAGTCTATCTATTTTTTTTTTTTTTTTTGAAAATTTACAAATCAATATTGATTAATATTAATCTATACCAATAATCATTTGTGCTTTGATTTGTGCTTGTTGACGTGTTTTTAAATCCATCCATTTAATATATGGTAATGTTTCAATAAATGTTAAACGAATTTCTTCAACAATATGTTTTATTTTTTCTTGATTTTTTTCATCAAATACTTTTGAAATAAATAGAGCACCTTCATAAAAGAAAAATAATTTATTCATTTTAAATGGACTATGTTAAGGCAAAGTTGAAAAAAAAAAGATTTCTAAAACATAAGACGATTGAACTTATTCATTCAAAAGTTTTGTGAAACACGACAAAATCAAACATTTTTTGTGTAGAAACAGTAAAAATAGAGTTTTTTTTGTCGCTTCTATCAAATTTCGAACACTATTTTATTATTTAAAAAATTGAAAGAACAGTAGTATCGTTAGAGTTTGATATTTGTAGATCATTTAACCATTGTTGTAAAAGACGTGCTTTTTTTTGGAGTAAGTATAAAAACAATACTGAGTGCGTTACTGTAATAGTTTCGTTAGGAATCTTTTAAGAATTTCAAAGAAAAATACCTGAAAAATTAAAAAACATTTTGTTCAGATCCAATAGAGACTTTTTAAATCGCCCTGATGTACGTGATCTTTTTTTGAATAAGTCCTTTACTATGACTTTCTATCCTTATAGAATCCTCACTTAACAGCTTACCTCATTGAGTTATGATAATTCAAAGATAAAAAAACTGGGTGAATGCGTTATCGTTAGACAAGCTGAAAATAATTTTCTGCATTTTTGTTTTTAGTTTTTACCTGTAGCAAATCCAAATGCATCATCTGTTCTTTTAACACAAATTTCCCATAATTGTTTTTCTTCTATAATACCTTTTAAATATGCTATTAAAGGTCTTTTAAATTGATTAAAACTTTCGGACATATAAGGTAATAATTCTTGAATAACTTGAAATGTTATATAATTAGCTAAAATATATTTTGGTGTTATTTCTATTAATTGTTTTAATTTTTCAAAATAATCTGGTGTTGTTATAAGAAATGTTTGATTATAAAAAAATGATTTATCTTTATGAAAAATTCTTTCTAAATAATTTTCAATATCAAACCATGATGAAAACCATTGTTGAATTTGTTCATATGTTTGTATATGATAGAATTGTAATGGATTATGAAAATTTTTTATTTCAAATATATATGATAAACGTTTTTCAAATAGAAATATTTCATCAATTTGTTTTGATATTTTATATTCAGATAAAAATGAATGAAGATATTTTATTAATTTAGTACCAAAATTATTAAATAAATAACGTATATTTTTATCATTATAACGAAATTTTTCATTAAATGATAAACCTGATTGTTCAAAATAAATACAATAATAATTATTATTTTTATCATCAATTATAATACTTATACGAAAAAATGGATTAATTTTATGTTCATGTGTATAAATAAGACTTGTAACTAAATTAAAATTTTTTATTGACCAATATTTAAATAATAATATTGATTTTCCAACACGTTGAAGAATATTTCTAACAGTTATTCTTGTAAGTTTTTCATTATTTGTTGTATTCATACATGTATTAAAAAAATTTTTCAATTTTTTTCTTGTTATTGAATTTGTATTTGAAGAATTATCTTTTAAAATTTTATATAAAATAATTAAATTATTCTTATAAATTTCTTTAAAATAACTTATTGATGTTTCACTTGGTGTTAAAAAATGATTATTTATCCATCCATCACATGCATATGAATAAAAATTTTTACATGGATTTTGTTTCATATTTAAATTTTCTATAATACGATGTGATGTTGATATACATGCAAGTGATGAACATTGATGAAGATAACGATTTGCATGATATTGTATACGTATAATAAAAGGAAGAGAAAATAATAGAAGTAAAATAATAATAAATATAAGAAAAATAATACTATATTGTTGTTTTATATCATTATACCATGATGATTGTAATTTTGTTATTGAATTTTGATTTTTAATTATTGAAGATTTTTCTGATTGAATCCAAAATTGATCAAATGTTGAATTAAGAAGTGATATACGTGCTTGATTTAATGATTGTTCATAATCTTCAACATTATTATTTTGATAGTACATCAATGTACATTTTTTTTCCTTTCGAATAGGTTGTCAAGAGAGATATAATGATTTATTTATATTTTATTAATAACAAGAAAAAATTTCATTTTCCTTGATACAATAGTAAGGAACGAAAAAATAAAAAAATCAGTTATGTAGAACCAATGCATCACAACGATCTCCTAATAAATTAAGTTTGCAATTAAACATTCATCCTAATCATTCTTTTTTCACTACAGACAAAAAAAAAATATTAATATAGCGCAAGTTATATCTAACGACAGTTTGATATCACATAGAAATTATATCTTTTCTCATAATTTTCAATTATTGAGTAAATTCAACAAAAATAACTTATATTTAGAAAATTTTTATTAATTAACAACAACTAAAAATAACAAAACAATTGATGTGTTAGTTATTCTTCGATAAATTCTCGATTATAATTTGACCCATGAAGTATTTCAAGAAGTGATTGAATATATTGAATAGCACCATCAACTGTATCCATTCGTGACATTTTTTGACGTTTTCGACCTTTTCTAAATGGAAGTACATTTCGTAAATCTTCATAAGCTTGATTAATAATTTCCATTCGATGACGTTCACGTCGATTTGCTTCTTTGCGTTGTAAACGTGATAAAATACGACGTTTTTTACAATGATAATTCTTATCATAATCTCCCGTTGATTCTTGATTCATATTAATGTGATTATCTTTCAATAATTCATTATGATAATCATTGATTATATTTAATTGTTCATTCTAAAGTATAATGAAAAAAATAACAAAATAATTCTTCAACAAAATATCTTCTCTTACTCTAGCAAATGGTAATGAATATGATTCAATTAAACTTGTATCAGTACTTGCACTTTCATAACCTGATGATGAATTTAAACTTATTCCAATAAAAGAATTAAATTGATAATTTTGATATACTGAATATGGCCAAGGTGAGAAATTCATCATTAGTATTATTATTTCTACTATAAAAATGTTTTTCTTCAGGAAACTTTATATATATATATTGGGTAAAAAAAAAAATAATCAATTTTACACTCATATTTCATCAACAACTCGTCATCAATAATATGTTCATTAATTAGCAATGACAAGCAACTAATCATTTCTCCATGTATCAATACATTGAAATTTATGGACCGATATGACAATGAGCGTATCGGTGTCATCCTGAAAATATTTAGTTCCACTAGTATATTATTCGAAATTGAACTGTTGTCGATTTAAATATTGTATTGAGATATTTACAAAACAAATTTTGTCGAAATTCGAACATTGTTTTATTTTATTAGTAAAGATAACGAGACATACACACACAAATCTAATTTAAGAATTTATATACAAAAAAAGAAAAAAATAACAAACAGAAAAACGATCAAGTTTACTGTTCAGAGTAAAAAAGAAAAACAATTGATTTCTTTTTAATATCAAACAATCCAAACAAGTAATTGATCAATTGATGAACGTCTTCGATGAATTTTTGTATTTGTTTGATATTGATAATGACATAATGTTGTTGAATAATGATGAGATATATGTTTTTTTTCATTTTTATTTTCATCTAATGTTTGAAATGCTCGTTCTCGACAAAGTTCACATGCAATAAATGGTCTTGATCGTCGTTGTTTAGCAAATAAAGGTGTTGAACAACGTGGACTTTGTGATGAATTTCTTGGAAATGAAGATGATGATGATGTTGATATTGGATGAACTAAAATAATCAATAAATATTATTAATGTCAAAAAGAATATTAATTCAATCGTCTAGTCTTTGTATGTTTTTATTTGTCCTTTTTTTTTTTTTTATTCTTATGTCCTAGACATCAACAATAAATTTGAAGTGAACGAAAGGCGTATTATTTTGTTACATCTTCAAAGCAAAAACAATCCGACAAATAAATACATAGACAATCATCCGGTAATTTGTAAACAAAATTAAAACAAATCGATTGAAATTATAGTTTTTTTTTCTAGTGACACGTATCCAAAACAGGAGAGATCAGTCATTTGATCATGTCAGTAGATTTTATAGTAACCATTTCTATAAGAGATTTCAATTTCTTACAAATAAAAATTAACTATTGGCAGAGAAGATTCAACCTCTACTAGAATAAAAAAAAAAACTTTTATCCAATTAATATAAAACAATTTTTTTTTCCAATCAAGTGCTTCTCTCAGCTTTTCAATCTCAGGCGATGATTGTTATTTACTAGAGTGATGCTGTGATTGAACACACTTCAATATAGGATATCCTGTCGGTATTTTCATATCTTATTGATTTACATTTAACATAAAACTGTGATATGACGACTCATCTTTTAGTTAATATATTCTAACGTATGACTGACAATCAAAAGAAAATGTTTCATAATCAATTAGATATTCAATGAAAATTTATGCATGCCTACCTGCTGTTGTTAAAGGAATTTTAGGTGTTGATGAACGAAATAACATGCCACTAGTTGTACATTTTGATGATTGTGGATAAATTGTTTTCATAGGTTTTAATAATGGTTGTAAAGATATATTTTTCCGTTTTTTTGTCTTAGCTGATGATGATGAATATAGAATTGATGCAAGTGAATTCATTCTAAAATATTTATCTCACAGTCAATAATAGATGAGAAAAAAAATAAAAAGAACAAAATATTTTATCAAGCATTACCCGATATAATTATACTATACTTATACGTAATCAAAGTGAAAATTTACTGTCATTATCGATGAAGCATCATAGAAATAATAAAAATTTATTATCAGGTGGTAATATCATCTACATTCGCTCTTTTAAGGGAGACGTAATCGTAAGTGTTAATAACTTTTTTTTTTGCGGTTACGAATGACTATTTGAAGTTACGTAGCACAAAACGAATGAGTGCTCGTGTGCTCACACCTATTCAAATTGAACGAATAGAGGTGAGTAAGCCGCATAAAATAGATCAACAAAGTATCATAAAAAAAAAACACAGACAACTTCAACATAAAACAGACATCTCGTTTTAATTGAGTCCGACAAAATGACTAAAATGTGCTGAAAAATTAATGCTTATTTAGACAAGTTTTCAAATCATTGGAGAAAAAAACATAACATTCACTAAAAAAGTTATCTTTAAAGACGATACATATACAAGTAACATTCTATTACTGTAAATCAAATTATATAGATACATAAAAATATATAAATTCCTAATACGAAATACAAACTGAATTATGCTTCGAATCAGTGGCGTAACGAAAGGTGGGCTTAAACGGATGGCGCCCATCTCATCAGCGGAAGAATGAATAACGTAATAATTACTATTATTGACATTATATTTTATAGATGTTTTTCTAAGATCGAAGAGTACTGCTCAGCAACGGATCTGCATAATATGATAAATGCAGGCGATGATTATCACAAAGAATCTTTTCAAATTAAATTAGAATCCGTGTTGGATGCTCTAAATTTGTGACTACAACTATCATTTTATCATTGACGATATCTTAGTTAAGTTATTATATCGAATAACTATTGATCAAATATTAAGAGAAGAACTTTTCTTTATATTCAAAAACTCACCTGCCACTTAGGCTGATTAATATTGTTGAGAGTCAAAGGGCGGATGCGTTGATGTGAAAATAAATTGAATTACGACTTGACTGAATGAATACACCACTAGTGCAAGAGAAAGAAGAGAGAAAGAAAATAAAAATCATCTATTGGATATGAACACTTCACTTTTCTCGTCAATGGATTGGATAGATGACTAACTGTAAAAGAAAAACGATGAATGAAACAAGTCTATGTTAAGGTGTCAATTGTCAATTCGATAGATTATTCATATAATATAGAAAACACCTTTGTAAGACATGGAATACGGGAAAAAAAAACTTTTTTAAAATTTTTTTTTGCACGAAAACAAATATTTAATTGTCGATGTCTTGAATATGTAAAAATAATCGTTATGATAGATGATATGATTAAATACTTATTCTTCGTTAATCAAACGAGCGTAACGATTAATTGTCATTCGTTCATCTATATAAGTTGAACAAAATGATTAAAAAATTTCAAACCAGATGATATAATGAAATAAATATAAGGAAAAAACCTGTTATATTTCATTGAAGAAAATGAATGATGTTATTTTTTGTTTTTTTTTGTTATCGAAAGATTATTCTCATGTGGTATTTCAAAAAAAGAATACATATACAAAAAACAAAACAAAACTTTTTATTAAGTACTATTTGTTTTTCTTGTCGGCAGAGTATTGACGATGTTTATTTAGTTAAGACTAGTTGATTTCATATGTTGCAAAAAAAAAAAGAAAATAAAAAGAAATTAGTATTTAATATTTGATTGAATTATCTTATTTTTTTACAATTCGTTGCGGGAATGAATGCACGTGTATATTAAAACGGATATATACTTGTTATTTGAAATGATGAATCGGCATTTAATTGAGTGAAATTAAGAAAAATAAATAAATCATTATTAGAATTTGTCCGCTTTTTTTGTTTTCTCTTCTCTATGGAATATATAATCATGAAGATTGTAATGATATTGATTGCGTAGTATTGTGAATCTGATATGACAGGCAATTATCAATTTTACTGCTTATTTTTCATCAAACAGAATTTGTTTTTACGAGTTGATTTTGATGATATAGTTAAGGGCTCTTATATTTGACTCCTATGTGTTAAATCTTTTGTTGTTGTTCTCTGCAATGGTCTGTTAATATGGCATTGATTTTGGACAAAAAATTATCCCAACATATATTTTCAAATAGAATATATATATATATATATATTTAGACTAGAACGGTCATATGAGTATATGTTGTTCAGTTAGATTTCATTATATATTATTATTTGATTGTAAACAAGAAACAGATGTAAATAGAATAGGGAAAAAACAAACGAGCAAAATAGAGGACAATGTTAGGATTCTTTTTTATTTCCTGTCCTGTGGTGTTAGTTGACCTTTTTTCTTTTTCTCTTTTTTTTACAGAAGTTAGGTGTTTGGTGAAAATGAAGTCGAAGAATATTCATGCCGAGCTGAACGAGAGCCAATTGTTCATATTATAACTGAGAAAAATGAGTGAAATGTGGGTGGTCATTGTATATATGAACATTAGGATAGAGATCGATGTGATTCGGAAATTATGAGTAATTATAAAGTAATTCTTGATTTTATAGAGATATGAAAAATAAACTTTTTTTTGTTTGTTTTTAGATATGACATAGTTAGAAAGATTTTGATAAAACAGATTCAATTTAAAAATAAACAAAGAAAAGAAAATCATTTTGGTTTTCTAGAATGTAAAGTTTCTGAGTATTTTTCATGTGTTTCAATGTATTGAAAAAGAGTGAGACGTCATATATTAGAATCAGTATTTTGTCTTGACGACGATCTATACTCTATAGAATGATGAAACAATGGAGAGTTTTGGTTAATCCTCTAAAAAATGGCAGAGTTATGCTGAATAGGCAAAAACTGAAAAATTAGTCTTTATTGCACTTCAAGAATTTGTAAAAAAAAAAGAATTTACTCTTTCGTAGAGGATTGTTTTCTGTATATTTCAATATTTATGATAAAATTGTGTAGCATGTTTCGAAAAAGTTCCATTGAAGATTTTCTTCCTTCACAAATAATTTTTTGAGTCTTTGTAAGATTGACTTATAGCTCAATACTCTACAATCAAATAAAAATCCTAAGTATCTATTTTGAACAAGCGCAAAATTCTGATTTTCCATACATGATTTCTCACTCTTTTGTAATGAATTTAAATATATGAAAAATATTCAGAAACTTCTGATTGAACTTTTACGATGATAGTTTTGAGATTGTTTCTTAGTTAAAATACTGTCGAAATAATCATTTCAATCGATATTATTATTGAGAGATGAACTTCGATATCTACACTAATTACTAACTGTTAATTAAATTTCATAGCAATCATTATTGA